CCTTTTGTAGGGAGTTAAGGAGACAAAAGATATTAGTCAAAAAAAACTAGTCATGCCTACACTGAATATAACATTGTGTTAATGAGTGAGTGTTTTCATGGGCCTCTGCATTAAATTCCTTATAATCAAGGCTATTGTTAATGCCTTTTTGTCTCTGAGAATAGGATTCTCCTGCTCAGTGGGGGCAATGCTCCATCATTTTTGATTATCTAATAGTGACTAAGTGGATATATAGTTCTTCTAATATTGTTCATTGAGTTTGATTTTGATATTATAATTTGTATATGTGATGCTTATATAATTTTTATAACCTAAGTGTTTTTATATACACATCTGCTCTCTGCATTTTACTCTAATCATTAATAAGATACAAAATGCATTTATAGGAAGACAGATGTGTGGTGAATATGCTGTCTCTCCCTCATATACATACACAGCTGCACTATAACCTCAGTGAGTTCATTATATCTTAATGAATATGATTAAAATACGCATGTTTATCCATTAGTGGAGCTATTAAGTGAGCATAAGACAATGAAATGAACAGGTTACTTGATATTTATCTAAATTCATAATCAGCAGAGCTTGTAGAAATTTCTAATGATTTATAATATTTGAAAATGTGTACAATTTTATGAGCTGCTTTTTTTGAGTTCCTATGAACTAAATATTTTTATGATTAGGTCTCAGAAAATTTGCTCTGTAAGCTAAGTTATAAATTATTTAATAAACCATTATATATCAAAAATTAGTCTTTCTTTTCAAGGTTACCTTTCAGAAAATTAGCCTTATTCAAGATTCAATCATAATAATCATTATCTAATTTTTTTTATTGTGAGAATACCGTACAGAGGAGTTACAATTACATGGGAAAGATAACGAGTACATTTCTTATCAAGCATTGTTGCCTCCTCATTGTTTTCCCTTCCCATCCCTTCCCATACTCCTCCCTTACCCCCACCTGATCCTCTCCCCACCCCCCACCAAACTTGTTAAGTTCGTTTTCGACATAACAACTTGTACATCTCATTGTTGCAATGGGTCCACTTGTATCTCTAAACGATTTTTTTTCCTTCCCCTCCACAAATTATACCAATATCAAATACAATGAAAGTATAGGTTATACTGTGGGGGAGGGACATACAAAGCAACATAGAAATCATCTTATAAATATGATAGAAACAATTTCATGAAAGGAAAAAAAACAAAAAAAAAACCATTTGAATACTTATCTTAGGCTTCATTCCACTAAATTTCAAGAAATGATCTGTACTACTTGGTAGGAGGAAAAGTAGGAGAAAAATGAAGAGATAACAATTTTGACAGGAAATGTACTTATTATTTTACTTATGTAACTGTAATCAAAGGTACATCACCTTGGCAATAAAAAAAGGAAAAATATCTGCTCCCTCCATTTTTTTGGAAACAGAGTCTTTTTATATGTACTTGGTATATTAATATATTAATTATGGATTTCTTGAAGTCCCTATGTTGTAATATAAAACCTTGATTATCTTTATATTTCTTACTATTGACTATTCTCTAGACCATTGTTCTGAATCCTAGTATGTTTCATGTGTTACAGGTATCATCTATGAAAAGGAAGAAAATCTTAGCGGAGAATCAGGTGAATAAAACCTCTATGAAGAGTGCAACCTTCTTTGCCAAGCCCAGTGATTTAGTGGGACACATCAATTTACTCTGTAGTCCAGTTCCATATCCCTAGAAAATTCATTTCTAATCATTTTACAGTTATCTCCTCATAGTGTTAGGTCAATACATCTCTCAGAATGTATGTGGAACTCACTGTTGACAACCCAGAGATCCTTTTTATTGGCCTTGTGCTTGATTTTGAGCTAGTGAAAATTAACCTCTGCTTTCATTCAAATGGATGCTTCGTTTTTAGATTCTGACACATTGCTTCTGCTCATCAGTTTTGTCCCTTACTCTTACACCTAGAGAACAGTCTATTTTCTACTTGCGTATCTTTGGCACTCAATTTAGCATTATAACTGAAACTGAAGATCTGAAAGCTCTAGGAGAGGTACAAATTCTGAACTCTCTTTAAAATTAATTTAAAATCAATTCAATTACCACATGTTAAAAACTTTTTTTTCATACTATTTTATAAAAACCATGAAGCCAGTCAAATACTTAGATTTTAGCCTTAGGTAGACTAAATACTCATTGTAAAATTGATGAACATCTTATTAAAATTATGAGTTTCAAAATACATAATATATTCTTAAATATTATTTACTCCCTATTTTTGAGGCATGGACTAAGTTTGAGTGGCAAAACTACCAAGGCTTGCACTATGTTTCCTGCTATATACAGTACTAATTAGCAAGCTAATACGCTAACATATTGGTATATTAATTTTACTATTTACTACAAATGTCAGTTTGAAAAGGTTGAAAAATAGATCATCTCTCCATCTGAAAAATCTTGGCAGGTTGTTGATATTATAAGAAAGTTAAAGACCATTAGAAAATTTAGCCAAGCTACTAAAAAGACGTAAGTTTTTACTTATTGAAAATAAAGTTTAATACAGCTTAAGTACTCTATCCAGAAAGCCAAGAATCTTGGGAATGTTGCCTGGCAACCTTGGCTATACCTTATGCTCACTTCTATGGGTGGATTCTTCCTGGGTGTGACACTTTTTAAAGCAACTTTAGTATTTCTATTATTTCCCCAGAACTAACAATTATACAAGAATTTTAAGAGTATTATCTTTGCTCTTGGAGTTTCAAGAAAATTGGCTAGTTGTTTTCAATGCTTTTCACAGTAAAACAGACATGAATAATTGAGGGAAACTCTTCTAAACAAATATTGCTACCTTTTGGTGACTTAGTAGTTACCCTTGTCCTCCTTGCTTCTTTCCCTTATCAGTTACAAATCCTCTGAGTATTTCTGATTACATCTGCCTTAAGGTGGGAGAAACAACAGCAATGAGAGAAAAAAGTCCATCAGGAGACTCAAGAGACACTCTTTGATGAGCTATGAACATAAGATTTGCTGCAAATAGATCAGGTATGACACAGATGTACTCCAGATGTTTGAATCAACAGAGTTTTCCAAATTCTCAAATTCAAAATCTTCAGACAGCTTTGAACAAAATGCATTTCCTCTAATTAGTGTCCCAATTCTCCATTTAGTAATGAACCGCCACCTTTCAGAGAACTTAAGTTCTTCTACCAAGAACTTGACATCACTGCAATGGAATTAGGCTGAAATGTGATTTTTTTCCATTCCCCCTTTCCTCACCAAACTCCAACACCCCTGCCTTCAAGGCCTATTGTTGTTGGACAGTGTGGCAAGAGGTCAAGATAGAGGCTTAACTCCTGGGATTCTAGTTTTTGAGAAATTTGGTTTCCGGATTTTGCCTGCTAAATCTATAAAGCAACATTTCACCATGTCTGAGCTGGCCCTACTTTTTAGATAGCATGAGTTATGAGTACATCTGAGATTTGGTGAGCACACAAATGACATGGGAGCTGTGCAGATTATGACTCTTCAAGATGTGGGATGAGGCACTGAGATTCTGCATTTCTATTATGCATTATGTTCTATTGATAACTGTATTACTGGTCCTCAGTCTAGATGAGCAACAGCAACACAGTTGATGGCTTGATTGCCCTTTCCAGCATCTATCTCAGGTACCCTGTCCTCCCAATTCCCTGGAAGTATCCAGCTAAGGACTTTTGACAGTGGAAGAACCTCAGCATTAATGCACTGTTTGCCTAATTGTCTCATTTCCTCTCATATCTGGCATGAATATGCAGTTGTTGCTTGTATTAGGCTGAAGAAAAATGTCTATAAAATAATTATCATAAAACTTCCCTTATTTATCTATTCCTTTTTACCTTTTAATAGCTGCTCCTAAAATGGTTAGATTCTCATAAGGGCAGGTTGCCACCTGTTACAGGATTGCTGACATGAACTGAGTTCCTTTTTTATTTCCTGCTGCTCCTTCATTGTGAATTACAGCCAGGTACTTCTCCAGCTGAAGCACCTGACACTATGTATCCTCACTGAAAGTAATTGTCACTTTTGTGTAAGTGAAACCCAATGTTCTTTCTGTGGAACTACAGGTAGGGGAATGTTTGAGACCTTTCAAGCTCTCAGGGCGTCTAAAATAAAGAGGAGAGTGTATGCTTGCTTATCATTGGTTCAAAAATCTCAAAAAAAAAGGAAGTTGGGTAACTTGTGGTTCTCCTCTACTCCCACTACTTCTTTCCCATTTTCTATTTTATAGAAAGGTAAAGCATCCCCAAAGTTAGTTTCTGGTGGATTATGAAATCTCTGGAAAGCAGTGATCCATGAAACAGGCTCAGTGGATTTTATCTGTGTATTTTTCTGTTCTCTGTAGCAATGAGAAACCACACCATCAGAAATGAGGTTAGCTCAAAGCTGAGGCCATCTGGGGATGGGAGAATTAGCCTGCGTATTTAAGAGAAGGCCCTTAGGCCATGAAGGATTTTCTGGTAAATAGTTCTGACTTAAAAAAAAATTATACCAAACTCAAACTTTTACTTTTTAATGAGGACTAGGTTTTTGTGTATTTAATGGGGGAAACAAAGGATGTTGCAATATAGAGTGGATAAAAAGAATTCTGGCCTCTTGCCATTTGTATTTCTACTGAAACCGGATGAGGCTTGGCCCAGCCTGGCTGTTCCTTAAGCCAGGGAGGATGACTGAGTCACACACAGGCCTCTTGTACTGTCCATTGGAACCTCCTGCTGTATCAGTCACGCTGTGTGGAGTTAAGACCAAGGTTGTTTGTGTAAGGGGAAGAGAAGAAGTCATGCTGAGTCCTGTTAGAAAGTTAGATGCTTCTACATTTGTAACTTATGCCTGCAGTTGATGTGCAATGCTTTAGGTTTGGAACAGGAGCCATTTGGTGGATGTACCAAATCCCAAGTGTTCTGCATTTGACAGAACAACTGATGTGCCAGGCATGGTTTGGTGAATTGATGAATTAGGGTCACCAGAGCCTATTACCCCAAGGATTTTGATGCCAGCAGTTGGAGGCATGATGGTGCACAAAGTACACATAAGGCCTGCTGGGTTTTGACAGCAGAGTCCACTGCAGATGAAGGTGATGTCACAGTCATATGGCTCCATTGTATGATGGTGTTTCTAGGTGATTGAACTGGTGGAGCAGGTAAGCTAACAGCTGGTATTGTTAGGATTGCTGGGTCACTCAGAAAACAATTGTCATATTGTCCATTAGAGGCCGCTAATGTGGGGTGAGAGCTGGCTTTTATATTGGAAAGATGGCTGATATTGGGGTTTGATCCCTGCATGAGCTGCAACTGTGAAAAACAATTGTTGGATCCTTGCATGGTAGAAATCATTCCACTGTGTGGCAGGTAGTCAGAAGTGGGAGGCACCTGGTTCAATGCAGGGTTGTTCAAGACAAGAGAAGATTGAAAGACTGAGGCCTGGGAAGGTGGCGTTGTATCCATAGCATCATCATCATCATCATCCATAGGTGGTTTAGCTTGTGGGGAGACATTGCCTCCAGAAAAGGGGACAATGGCTGGGCCCATGTTGGGAAGGACTGAAGGAATGGCACATGGGGGAATAGGGGCATTGTGCTGCTGCACATTAGGGATGATACACCAAAGATAATTTTGAGGCACAATGGGCTGGTTCAAAACTAGGGAAGGCCAGGGGCCCTTGGGCTGAGTTGAGTTAGTGGGGCCTGGCTCCATGACAAGGTGTCCCTGGTCTAAGCTAGGAGGGTCTGGGGCAGAGAGATAAGATTGGGGTGGAGGGAGGTTTGTGGGGACTAACCCATTCAGAAGATGCCCCTGGCACAGGATGCAGGAGACCTTGAGGAATGGATAGACTTGGGGTATAGGTGGGCTGATGAGTACTGACCCATTGAAAAGGTACCCCTGTTGCAGACCATGTGGGACCTGGGCAATTGGATAGGGGTTGGTGCTGGAGACTGGGGGAGATGTGAAAATAACTTCCTCAGAAGGTGGTGTTGTATCCATGTAAACTATGTCATCATCTGTAGCCACACCAGAGGATACTGTGGGGGCAAGCATAACAAAATCTCTGGTGGTGTCAATACTCAGACTCTTCCCGGTAGGTGGAACTACAGGAGGGGGTATAGGGTAGAAAAGAGGAGGAGGGGGAAGGGAATCCATACACAAAGGGATAGGGATTTCCCTTGTGCAGGGGACAGGCAAAGGTATAGTGGGGAGAGGTCTGGGGAAGAGAGAAGTAGGAGGGATTGCAGCTCTTGATACATAAAGTTGGTCTTCATTCTCACTATTTAGAACCCCCAAATTAGAGGCAGGGGTACTGAGAGAAAGAGGTTCTGCGGGGGAAGCCAAAGGGCAACTGGGCATTTTAGGTGTCAGTCCCTCTTTAGTGTTAGATGAACCTAATGGGATGTCTGCCCCAGTGTCCAGCACTTTTCCATTAGTGGTATTGGGAAGAGCTGAAATATTTGAAGTGCAACTAGGCAGGGCCTGGCAGCTATTGGTCCCTGCATCAGGTAGAGGAACAAAAGAGGCGGTCATAGTGATACTGCTATGTGTCACCTCCTCTTGTTTACCTTCTGAAGCTTCTATCTTACAGATTTGACTTCTACAAGACAGTATTTTCTTACAAATATCCCAATCTGGCTGTAGTTCTAGACAAGGAAGTTTAGCTGGTGGAGGAAGTTCCCCTCGATCCCAGGGTACTGGTACTGACAGCGGCAAGAACAGGGGAAGTTCAGACGGCACGGATAATCCTCTTTGGGAGGCTGTAGGAGCAGGCAGCTTTGGTGGAGCATGGTGGTTTGCTAGTGGACTAGCTGTGGGATTTTCAGCCTTCACCCCCTTACGTGACTCCTGGGAGTCTGAGAAGTTGGGGGTATGGTTTTCCCCAAGCCTGTCCAGAGTGGAGCTTTGTGAGCTGGGGTTGTCACGGCCATCAGATGGGGTACTCATAGGAGGCGCACAAGCCACCTCCTCCTTTCCAGCATTGGGAAGGATTCCCTGCCAGGGATGAGGACAGCTTCCCTCCAGCGTGAAGTTTCTCTTGGTCTTCACAGGATAGCATGGTACATTGCGAAGGTGACCCCTCTGCTCTCTGGCCTGCCCCGTAGGCTCTCTGTGAATAAAGACCTCCCAGTTGGAACCTTCTTGGCCTTTGGCCTCTGTGTCCCTGTGATGAGGATGGGGACAGGGTGATGTCTTCGGCTCCATGACATGAGCAAGCGGTTTAGGTAGTGACATGAGAGGCGAGGATCCACACCAAGAAGAAGAGGTCGTCATGTTTCCGGGGTTTTTCAATGTCCCCAAGTAGCCACTTGGCAGCACAGACACCGTTCTTTTCATCGAATCTTCCCCCGATGCCAAAGGGACATTGCCCGGAGTGTGGGCTGTGGCCTCTGGCAGAGGGCAGCTCCTCTGGGGGGCTCGGTGAGGCTGGGATGAAGACAGTACCAGCCTGACATCATGCTGGGCCATCCTACAGACAGGCCGGCCTGCAGGCCCGGGGCTTGCCCTGTACACTCACCTCAGCCGAACAGCGAGGCCCGCAACGAGATTTGCTGAGAAACTTTCTCATGACAATGAATCTCGGGCGAATAATCGGCAAAAATCGAGGAGAAATGGAGAGAGCGCCACACCTCCTTCCTTCTCTTCTGGGTAGCTGAGGACGCTCTGCCCAGCTTGGCCCTTTGTGATGTCACAAACCAGACACCACCGTAGAAGGGCGCATGCGTGCTGTGGGCACTCGTGGAAGGGTGGAGACTGGATGCTCAGAGCTTTCTGAGGACCAGCGGGCCATAGGTCATCCCCAGAACCCCTCAGGTTTCCCCCGTTGCCCACTGAAAGCCCATTTTCTTTGCCCAGTATTTAGACCTTGACAGCAGTGCGGGATGGCCTTGAGCTGGGTGCACCTGCTCCTCTGTGCTTGCTGCTTCTGAGCAGAAGATGGGGCCACAAGCTAACTGGCTGCTACAATCTCCAAAGCCTCTTTCTGCCAGGCAGGTTCTGTTCCCTTCCTTTCATATATTTGATAAAGCAACCTTTAAGCCCCACATCCTGCTAGTCCCACAGCCAGGCTCTGGACCAGGCTGAGTGGGTCAGACTCTGCACCCATCTGCCGTCTTGTAATGAAAGCATCCTGAGTTCCCATGCCCATTTCTGTAATCCAACCCTCATCCTCATTCCTTATCTGTAGTGAAGCACAAACATTGTCTAGAGGAGTCACCTCCAATGTTGTCAAAGGCCCACACTGGAGAAGGAATGGAGCACCAACTGTCAGCACAGCTTTTCCCCCATCTCTTTTGGAGTTGAGCCTTGCAGATTAAATATGTGTGTGTGTGTGTGTGTGTGTTGTTTAATTGGAAGAATTTGATGGTGCAAAGCTTTTATAAATTCTACAGAGGTGTATTGCTGAAGTAATTCAGTAGCATATTATTCCATGTAAAGAGGTAGTTTTCTGATCTTCATGGAATATGACTATTTACAAATCAAATTATCGGTTTGCTAGTGACACATGGAACAATATATTGGATTAAAGAACCAAATAACTTGGACTTCAGAAACATACCAGTTGGGTCCACTCTTCTCTAAACATTAATGCCACTTTCAGATTTCCTTATGCCCAAGAAAAGAGTCCTTGTGTTAGGGTTGAGAACAAGGGAAATATATATAAGATTATCCTGGGAGTTTTAAATTGCAGCAGGATAAGGAAGGTTGGAAAAACTCATGGCATTCTCCAGGTTGGCTCTTGTTCCTTCGGCTTCGTTTATTGTGGTGATTTTCTCTCTCATGAAGAATTATTTGCATCACATCATGTTTCCAAGCCATGAGTGGCAGAAAGCAGGAGAAGTATTTACAATTATGTACATATCTATGTTTGTGTCAATATCTATGCATGTGTGCATTTATATACATTTTTCCTGCAAATAGCATACATGCAAACATATATACGTACATAGTATGTATATATGTGTTGCTTTTAGAGACATCTCACTAGGCCTAAAACTTTCAATCCTTCCCACCTTGCTGTTCAAATTTTAAAAATCTACTTGAAATGCTTTAAAAATATTTAATATATTGAAAAGTAGGTTTCACCCTTCTCATAAGAATCCTTTCATATTATGTCAGAGAAATGAGAACATATATACAAACTACGAGACAGACACAAAATGTTTTGCTTAGTACCAAGTTCTGTTTCAAAAATAGAGAAGTATTACAAAGCCTTTTTATCCTTCTGAAATAAATTAGAGTTATTAAAATCGATAAAGTTACTAAAATATTTTTTCTCTTTCTTCTTGGGGTATAATTTTTAAATCATTAGAGTACAAGGGATTTCATTGTGATAATTCTTCAGGTACTGTAGAGTATTCTGCAGGCATACTGCTTGCACTGTTCTTTGAACAAGTCACTCCTTTCTTATATTCCCTTAGCCCCCTTTCTGTTGCTGTTTGCACAGCGAGACCCAGGAACTCGGTGCCTGGTAGGCAGAAAGGGACCATACCATGCAGGTATAGACAAAATTTATTAAAACATCATACTCTTATATAGGGCATGGGGGCACAGAAGGTAAGGCTGTAGTCAGGGGCCAATCACAGGGCAGAAAGATGACCTTAAACAATTCTTGGGGAATGTGGACGATTAGCAACCTTTAATCAATGTTCAGAAAGGTGCAGGTGGGCTCCATTAAAAAAAACACAAAAGGAATCTTGAGGCATAGTTCTACACAATTAACGAGGACAAGCACGAATGGCACTTCCCGAAAACCATCATCTGAGAATGGCACCGGGCCCATGATCTTTCCCCTGCATGGAGTTAAGGGCGTTCCCCTTCCTCCCCCAGAGGAATGCATGCCAGTGCACCCTCATGGCACACAGGAACTCAGACGGGGTCTTGCGAGTCTATGCCTCCGACCCTTTCCTTCTCATTTACCTAACAGTAGTATTTGGTGGGTTTCATTATGCTATCTTCATGTGTTTATGTGTTATGTCCTTTACCTCTTCACCCTCCAGCATACTTTCCTTCCACCTCCTCTTTTCTGCTGTACCCTACTACTACTTTTTATACACATACCCTATTGTCATAATCAGCATCACAATTTTCTTTTCTCCCCCTCGCCCTCTTCCCTCTCCTGCTCCCCATTCTCCTCCTCTTCCTCTTCCTCCTCCCCCTCCTCGTCATCCTCCTCCTCCTTCTCCTCCTTCTTTCTTCTTCATTTTACATGAGCAAAATGTGATATTTGGTTTTTGAGCTTGGCTTATCTCGTTTAATCTGATGATTTCCCAATTCCTTCCATTCTTTTGCAAATCATGTAATTTCATTCTTCTTTATGGCTGAATGTGGTATCATTCATCTCTGACTCTTTTAAGGATTGTGGCAATATCAGTACAACCTAAGATTACTGTTTTAGTTTTCAAAAAATATTTCATGGGAAACTTTAATTTTTTTCTCATGGTTGGTTGATAAAAATTAAAAAAGCTGTTAATCATTTTTATCCTTACTAACCTTGACTGAGTTCTTTTAACAAGCAATATTATTGTTCAGACTAGTCTAAAGGAAATTTGATGGTATGAAAATCTCTTTTCCTGCCTTTTACAAATGTGTATTCATGCATAAATGAATACGTTCTCTCACAATGGAGACATTGTAGAATTTTAAATACATCCCTAGATGACCTTGCATGTAGAGTTACTCCTCAGTATTCTTAACAAGATTAATTCTGGAACCCTCTCCTCCAAATACCAAAATCCAAGTTTGCTTCAGTTTCTCTGTAAGTTGATATAATATTTGGATATAGGCAATATATATTATTTATGTATTAAATCAGTTTAGAGTTCTTATAATATCTAATAAAACATAAATGCTATGAATATAGGTTGTTGTATTATATTGCTTACAGAAAATAGCAAGAAAAACTCTGAGTGAAATTGTTATTTTTTTCTGGTGCTTTTTATTGGCAGTCCATACCTGGGAAATCCACAGATTTGGTGGATCTACTGAATTAATGGCACTAACTAGCAGCATTTCTGCCTCTCTGGTAACCATAATTTATCTCTAGGCATTATCTGGAATTGGTTGAAATCTGAGATGGACTATTCTCATTTTAGATGGACAAGTCTAAATCACTTAATTCATGTAAATGAACTAAATATTTTGTAAGTATTTATTACATACCCGTTGTGTTCACCTCCACAGTTAAAATTAAGATGGGGAGAAAGGGACACAAAATTTAAAAAGTAAATTACTTTATTCATGACTTTTGTTAGCTCACAACCTATTGTGAAAACTAGCAAACAAATATAAAGTTTAAGCCCTTGGTACTTCTGCGCTATTAAATTTCACTTCATTAGCACTCATTCTCTTCATAGAATATATAATTGTTTTATTGTCATACCATGGGTTGTGTTCTTTTGGAGTTTCTGGTTGTTTAGATGCCAGTGAGATCTACTGTAATTTCCTCTTATCTTTTCCTATAAAAGTTACTCCCACATCAAGAAAATATTTTACGTACCTATTTCCACTAGACATTTAGCATGATCTTGTATTTGACATCAATTTTCAAATTTTAATTATATATGCCATGTCTATATGTGGCTATACCATTAGCTATTTCAAGGAAATTAGTGAAAGGCAGGTGGCTTTTAAAAATGTATTTAAACTTAAAATTCATATACACATAAGTGCATAAATATGTTGAGAACATGCTCTTTTAATTAAAAACATGTTATTTTAAAATATAGCATCTTGACAGCATTGTGTAAATGTTTTGCAATGCAGGTAAAATGTATACCCTCAATTTCTATCAACTTTGTCTTACACTGAAGTTCTCTGGACCCCCAATTCCTTCTCTTAATAAAGGTGGGTATTAGTGTATAACTTTGAAGGTTCATATACAAATTAACATGTCCAAGTGTGCACGACTTCAGGGTATTGAAAAGTACTAAATACAATAGAGGATTCCTTAAAAGAGATGGAATGTGTTTATAATTGACATGACGGTGACTGGACTGCTCTGAGTCTCATGGCCTTTGCTGGAGGCCATGGTAGAGTTTTCCGTAAACTCTGTGAACCAGACCTTGGACTCTCAATTCCCCTTGTCAGTCTTCACCTGGATGGGAAAACACTGTTCTAACTCCCTGCAGGGTAGCTGAGTCAGTCTCCTCTCTACCTTAAACCTTTGTGCTGATAGATGATTCATACTTTTGTGGACAATTTCCCCTTTAGCTTATATTTCAGTCCAAGTTTTGCCCAAGACTTTTAATTAATCTGTAGTGAGTTAGTTGATACAAAAATTTCTAATTCATACTGACTATACCCATTGATCCATACCTAAAACCACTGTATCCACAGATCATGTCAAATGAAAAGGAATCTTTGCACAACTGGACAAGAAAGTTGCATATTGGTAGAAAAGAGAGCTTGCAATATTGAGATTGTTTTCAATTTGCTGGCCTCCTTAACTAACTACTGAAATTATTTTC